TTTTCCTAATTTCAAAAAAAAAAAAGGAGAAGGAGAAAGAGGAACACGTGTATCCTATATAAGGAAACTATAAAGAAAGAAAATTATAAGCTAATATTTGTGATGAACATAGATGATAAAATCCTGAACAAAATATTAGGAAACCAGACCCAGCAATACATTAAGAAGATCATACATCATGATCAAATGGTATTTCTTCTGGGGATGCAAGGTTGGTACAATATGCACAAACCAATAAACGTGATACACCACATAAACAAAATGAAGGATAAAAATCACATAATCATATGAATAGATACAGAAAAAGCATTGAACAACATCCAGCAATGATTTATGATAAAAACTCTCATTAAAGAGGGAATAGAGTGAATATAACTCAACATAATAAAGGCCATATATAATAAATCTATAGCCAACATCATACTCAATGGACTGAAACTAAAAGCATTTCCCTTAAGATCTACAACAAGACAGGGATGTCTGCTTTCACCTCTGTTATTCAACATAGTCCTGGAAACCCTAGCCACAACAGTCAGACAATAAGAAGAATTAAAAGGCATCCAAATTGGAAAAGAAAATGTAAAATTGTCATTATTTGCAAATGACATGATACTGTGCACTAGTATAGAGAACTCTAAAGATAACACCAAAAAACTACTAGAACTTAAATGTCCATACTACCTAATGCAATCTACAGAGTCAGTGCAATTTTTATCAAGATACCAATGGTATATTTCATATAACTAGAACAAATATTCCAATAATTTATATGGAATCACAAAAGACCTGAATAGCAATCTTGAGAAAGAACAAAGTTTGAGAAAGCATGCTATCTGATATCAAACTATAGTATAAGGTCATAGTAATCAAATTAGCATGGTACTGGCATAAGAACAGACATATAGATCATAGGAAAAGAGTAGAGCCCAGAAGTAAACCCACATTTTTATGGTCAATTAATATTTGACAAAAGAAGAAAGAACATACAATGGGGTAAAGATAGTCTATTCAATAAATGGTGTTGGGAAAATTGAATAGATACGTGCAAAAAAAAAATGAAACTAGGCCACCTTCTTACACCATACACAAGAATAAACTCAAAATGGATTAAGACTTAAATGTAAGCCCTTGCCAGGTGGGTAAGTTGACTGGCACATCATTCCATACAACAAAAGGCTGCAGGTCTAATTCCTGGTCAGGGCACATACCTAGGTTGCAGGGTTGATACATAGCTGGGACACATACCGGAGGTAAATGATCAATGTTTCTGGAAACAAAAGATTAAGTAAACAAGTGGGAATCTTCAAACTAATAAGTTTTAGTGCAGCAAAAGGAACCCTCAACAAAATGAAAAGACAAGGTACTGAATGGGAGAACATATTCATCAATGATACATCTGAGAAGGAACTAATTTCCAACATTTATAAAGAACTTGGACAACTCAGCACTAATACAACAACCAGTCCAATTAAACAATGGCCAAAGGATCACAATAGACACTTCTCCAAAAAGGACATACAGATGGCCAAAAGACATAAGAAAAGATGCTCAACGTCACTAATCATCAGAGAGATGCAAATTAAAACCACAATGAGATGTCACCTTCTGTAAGAAAGGCTATCACCAATAGATCAGCAAACAAGTGTTGTGGAAGATGTGGAGAAAAGGGAACCCTTGTTCACTGTTGGTGGGAATGCAGATTGGTGCAGCCACTATGGAAAGCAGTATGGAGTTTTCTCCAAAAAAAATTACAACTGGAACTGCCTTGTGACCCAGCAATTCCACTTCTGGGAATATATTCGAAGAAACCTGAAACACTAATTCTAAAGAATATATGCCCCTATATTCAATGCATTGCTATTTACAATAGTCAAGATTTGGAAGCAGCCCAAGTGCCCATCAGTGGATGAGTGGATAAAAAAACAAAAAGCTATGGTATATTTACACAAGGGGACACTACTTGGCCATAAAAAAAGGAAGGAAATCTTACCTTTTGTGACAACATGGATGGACCTGGAGAGTATTGCACTAAGTGAAATAAGTGAGTCAGAGAAAGACAAATACCATATGATCTCAGTTATATGTGTAATCTAATGAACAAAGTAAATAAACTAAATAGAAACAGATTCATAGAGAACAGACTGAGAGCTGTCAGAGGGAGGGGGGTTGCAGGGCTGGGTGAAAAAGGTGGATTAAGCAAAAAAGAAACCCATAGACACAGAAAACAGTATGGTGATTACATAGCGAAAGGTGGGGTTCAGTGGTGATCGGAGACTTGACTTGGGTTGTTGAACACACAGTACAATATACAGATGCTCTATTAGAGAATTGTATACCTGAAACTTATATAATTTTATTAAACAACGTCTCCCCAATAAATTTAATAAAAACTTTTAAAAATTTCTTTGGTTTTGTTTTATTTTCCTCTAGGTATGCTATGAGACTAAAGACCCACTCAGGCCCCAATGCCACACCAGAGGATAAACAGCTGGCTGCGTTATGGTGAGTGCATCGTATCGGCTTAAAACGCCCAGCCTGTATGTGGTCATTGGTAAACCAGGTGCTGGAGCACAATGTTTTTCTAGTGCCTCTGACATGCAAAACCAAATGCAAGTCCACTGGTGGCCAGAGAGAGCCCACCCATTGCTTTGCCAGCCAAGAGGTGCCTACTCAGGTATTGAAAATCAACAGGTCCATTAAGCAAGGATAGCTTTTTTTTTGTGTGTGTGTGTGTGTGTGTTAAAACCAGGTAGGTTTGTGTTTTAATGATTTGAATGTGAATTGTGCCAAATGTAATTTCTCTTGTGTTGAACATTTTAGTTGCAATCAAAATAATTCATCTATCTCTTTACACATGGGATTAGTCTGAGTGAATGAAGATGACGCATTCAAGACCTCAACACATTAAACTGAGGAGCGGCTCATTACACTTTGATAATAAAAGCTTTCCTTGTAAAATGTTAACCAACATTAATAGGTTTTTATTTCTATAACGATTACACTAATAATGAATATGTGATTATAATAGTAATTTCCCTGTGACATCTTCTCAGTACACCTCCTCCCACGCCCACAAATCACAAGACACCTCTCTATTTGTTCCTTCAGTGACAGGGATCCAAAATGTTTGCCCCCAAAGGTTTCCTTCCCTGATCTGCAGTGGACAATTGAGCCTCAAAAATAAATAAATAAATAAATAAATAACAGCAACATACACGATAAAAGAGGGCCTCACATAGTTTAGCAACATCACATCATCTGGAGTTTGATCTGCTAAGAAGAGACCGTTATATTGTATTGGGTATGTTGGTAATCTCCCAGGTCAACACCACACCCGAGTTAGCCAATAATTATGAGTGGAAAGCACCAAGCAAAAGAGCAAAAAAAGCACCAAGCAAAAAAAGCATTTCTCGGAAATGCTTTCTGCACTCTTTTCAAACTTTAAATTTCATATTAGGGTTAATAAATTAATTATGATTAGTAATTGGCATCATAGAAGGTTACTAATATGTAAATAATAAAATAGACCGACTATTCTCAGCATAGAGTTTTTACTATTTATAAAAAAACATATCTCTTCCTTTATTTGAACTAATTGCAATTGAGTAAAATAGTTTAAAGGTAAAGGAATAAACACAGGTGGATGGTTATTCTTTCAGCAACACCGCTGGTGCCGGAAGTCCAGGGTGTCAGAGGGAAATCAGAGTGAGGTCACTCTACCCCAAAAAACTCCCCTTAAGCAGTGAAAGCTATGAGCTGCAGCTTCCTCACTCCTCCATGGAGAGACACTGTCCTCTAGTGGTGGCAGAAGAAATGGCCAGCCATGTACCCCAACAAAGCAATAAAGCTATTATTAAATGATCTGATGCAGTGTTTCTCAACCTTCTGGCCCTTTAAATACAGTTCCTCATGTTGTGACCCCCAACTATAAAATTATTTTCGTTTCTACTTCATAGCTGTAATTTTGCTACTGTTATGAATCGTAATGTAAATATCTGATATGCAGGATGGTCTTAGGCAATCCCTGTGAAAGGGGTCGTGACCCACAGGTTGAGAACCAATGACCTGATGGCAAATGCATTTATGGAGTAACCCCTTGAAATTTTGAAGTATACCTTCTGACCAAAAGGAAGATCAGACACTTACAGACATGTATGTATGTATATTGTACATAAAATCAGGATATAAATATTGAGTACTTGGAACAAGAAGATTTTTTGAGCCCTAGCTGGTTTGGCTCAGTGGATAGAACGTTGGCCTGCAGACCAAAGTGTCCTGGGCTCGATTCCAGTCAAGGACACATACCTTGGTTCCAGGGTCCTCCCCTGCCCGGGCCCTGGTTAGGGCTCATGTTTTGGCCATCCAATCGATGTGTTTCTCTCACATCGATGTTTCTCTGTCTTTCCCTCTCTCTTCCACTCTCTCTAAAAATCAATGGAAAAATATCCTCGGGTGCAGATTAAAAAAAAACAAACAAAAAAAAAAGATTTTTGAAAAGTCTTGTTTGCACAGGACACACCCATGCCTGCAGGGCTCATCTCTCTTCTTCCCTGCAGTTACCGATGCCTGGCTCTCCTGTACTGGCGGATGTTTCGACTCAAAAGGGATCACGCTGTCAAGTATTCAAAAGCACTTATCGACTATTTCAAGGTACTGTCTGGCTATCGGGGGACATGGTTCCCCGTATTTAGTTGTCTCCCTACCAGGGACGTTTTGAGGACAGGATCCATTGCTTTGAATAGAGGAGCCTTCTGACCCATTTGTGACATGTTCGTGGTGCGCAGGGCTAAGCATGGCCTTGAGAGCCCCCTGCCCGGAGCCCGGGCATTCCGATGGCCCCCAGGGAAAGGAGATTGAGTTCCCACTTCCGTGTCGTAGGAAATGCATCTTGGTATTTCACATAGATTCCTCATGTGCACCTCAAGCTTCTTCCTTTTGGAAGTAACTACTTAGAACATCTTAGCTAATTCCAGTAGCTACTTTATTTATTGATGACGGTGTTATTTAAAATGGTAAGAAATGAAATAAATAAATAAATAAAAATAAAATGGTAAGAAATGGCTTTTTGGAACTCAGGGGCACTAGCAATATGTAAACACAAAGATAGAACTTTTATCTATCTCAGCAAATGAAATCATTTTCACTGGGAAAATAAAACAAAAACACTTTTGTGATGTAGACTTGAAGTAATAATTAATTTGAGATTTGGGGCCACTCTACTGTCTATCTGTCTATAGGAACAAGAAATTACACCACCTCTACCTCCACCAACCCATGCACCACCGTCATTTTAGACCAGGGGTGGGCAAACTTTTTGACTCGAGGGCCACAATGGGTTCTTAAACTGGACCGGAGGGCCGGAACAAAAGCATGGATGGAGTGTTTGTGTGAACTAATATAAATTCAAAGTAAACATCATTACATAAAAGGGTACGGTCTTTTTTTTTTTTTTTAGTTTTATTCATTTCAAACGGGCCGGATCCGGCCCGCAGGCCGTAGTTTGCCCACGGCTGTTTTAGATTCTTTATCCCCAGCCCCACTTAGAGATTCTCTCTGGTGACCAGGCTGAGTTGGGGTCCGCGGGCTGTATGCAGCGTGCCACCCCCTTCCTGGTCGTGCCTGAGGAGTAACCAGGTGCTAAGCCAAGAAGGGAACAGTCTTGGCTAACATTAAGCCTTTCCCTTTATTTTGGGCACCTAAGGTCAAGGTAAGTCATTTTAAAAATGTTAGAATCTAAGAACTAATACTAACGAGAGTTATTACAAATCGAGAAAAATGCTTCACTGAGAAGGAATCTGAACTCTGCAGGCCACAGCGGTTACCACAGAACTTGAAGGAATACAAGAAGTTCTTAGTGTCCGTATACAGTCCTGAGTGTGTGCGCAATGCAGAGAGGACACACTTAAAAGCAGAGTTTCCCCTCCAGGAGTTCCCGGTAGTCACCCTTAATCAAGGGCTTTTTAAATGCTCCTTAAAGTCCCACGATTATGGACCTTCAGGTAACACTGACAAATTGTCCGCAGTGACTGCTTTATCGGTACAGAGCTGTCTGAACGGAGGACTTTGTTCCCTGTGTTTTAACAGTCACGGGGCCTGGTGGCCGTGGAAGAGGCCTGACGGCAACTGACAGTTGCCACATACAAGGCCCCTTCTACCATCTTGATAGCACCCCCACTGGAGTCTAAAACGCAGTCTCCACTTCGTGAAGTTCTTTTTAACCAAAAGCAATGCTTTGTGTCTAGGGAGCCACCCAAGGCTGTTTTCTTGTCTCGGGAAGGAAAACTCACATCAGCATTGTAGAGACTTCTTAACCCTCTAACAGGCCGGGGACAGGGGGAAGCTCACACCAGCATATAGAGACCTCTTCCCTCTAACAGGCCAGGGACGGAGGGAAGCTCACACCAGCGTATAGAGACCTCTTCCCTCTAACCGGCCATAGACGGAGGTCCCAGAAGTCATCGTTGGCTCTCAGAGAGGGTCTGTCTGTATGTTTAGGAACTTCCCTCACAAAAGGCAGAACTTCTTGTAAATGCCCGATGCAGTCAACTGGCTTGGGAAACATATCCTCCCCAGTCAGGATATTCAGGAAATCAGAATTTTTGAACACCCTACCTGTCGAGGGAATATATTTAAATCTGTCCTTTTAGAAATATTTAAGAGGAACTTTCTTTAAGAGAAATACTTTTAAGTCTCATAAGTTAAAATAATACAAGTTGATGTCTCATATTTCCAGGCATGAAATGTATGCCAACGGTTCCTGCAGATATGCCCTACATTTCAATATGGGGTGTTCTCATGGGGGACGGGAGGTCTGGTCTTTTTTCTTTTTCAGAAAAATTAAGCTAGTTTCAGGTGAAAAGTTAAACTGGCTCAGGATTCAGCAGACCCTCTGGATTATGATTTAATTTGATACATTGCATTTGGTGCATGAAATCCCAGGCTACAGGATAAGCTCTTGGCTTTAGCCAATTGTGGAACCCAGCAGGCCAGGCAGCTGTCCCCACTGGGTTTCAGAGAGGGAGCCAGTAGCCTAGGATTTGCGACTTCCCAGATTCATTTCTGGGAATCTGCATTTTCTCTGCAATGTCAGCCATTACTAATCTCAGCCATCACCTGAGAGCATGTTATTGTCAGCTCTGTAAACCTATGCAGATGGCTCACTGTCCATGTTTCTATTTTCCTGCAGAATTCATCTAAAGCTGCCCAAGCCCCATCTCCATGGGGAGCCGGTGGAAAGTAAGTTCATTTTTCCTTCTTTTCTTTTTTTCTCATTCAGCATTTTTTTTAATTTCTCTATTGACTAAGTTATTACATGTGTGAGTAAGTTCATTTTTCCATAGTAAAGGCGATAAACGAGGCACTGCCTGGTGTTGGGCAGTGTGCTACTTTGCTTACGGTGCCCTGGGGCTGGCCCGCCTCACCGGGAACCAGCCTCTCCACCTGGCTTTTCTTGCTCTCCCCTTCCAGGAGCACTGGAACCCCATCCCCCATGTCCCCCAACCCCTCCCCCACCAGCTCCGTGGGATCTCAGGGGAGCCTCTCCAATACCAGCGCCCTGTCCCCTTCCACCATCGTCAGCATCCCACAGCGCATCCACCAGATGGCAGCCAATCACGTCAGCATCACCAACAGCATTCTCCACAGCTACGACTACTGGGAGATGGCAGACAACCTGGCCAAGGAAAACCGAGGTGTGTGCCCTTGGGGGGGGTGTGCATGCCTGACCACAGCTCAGGGACACAACCTGACCTTGGGCGTCACCACACAAGTTGTCATCATTTCCCGAAGAAGAAATCCTAGAAGCTGTCACCTACTGCGTGAAACTTCCCAACCTCTCCCCTCACTCGGGCCTTAACCCACCTTTATCTTCACTGTGGAAGATTCCACATCCTATATAATAAAAGGCTAATATGCAAATTGTCCCCTCGACCTAGAGTGTGATGGGGGGTTGGGGGGGAAGCCAGCCAACCACCCGCAGTCCCTCCCCCCAGCTGGCCCTGCCCCTGATCAGGGTCAGCCCTGATCAGGATGGGCCAGCCGGACCCCACCTGTGCACAAATTCATGCACCGGGCCTCTAGTAGAGATGATAAAGACACAAGTAATGTGCAAAGATACAGATCTGTAGATACAGACATAGATGTGCACACACATGTTCTTTTCCCTGCTGACAGTGAGCTCCTTGAAGATAGACTCTGTTTCATCCGACTTTGTATTCCTAAGACCTTCACCAAGCCCAGAACACAGTTGAGGTCTGAAATATTGAATGAATGAATTAATGAGTGTGAATGTTACTGGCTTTTTAAGTGATAGCTGCTTACAACTGAAAAAAAAAGTGTTTACATGAAGCAATAAGTTCCATTTCTTTTTAAATTTTCTTTTTTACTGATTATAAACAGAGTGCATGTTTATTGTGGCTAAATTTATAAAGTACAGAAAACTGTTGTAGAGGAAAGAAAGATTTTTATATCATCAGTAATTGTACCACCAAGAAATAATTACTGTTAACATTCTACTGAAGTCTCTTCTAGTCTCCTCCAAATATGTGTGATTTTCGCCAAAATAAGGCCATAGTATATCTACAGTGTTGTGTCCTGTTTTGTTTTGTTGTTGTTGTTGTTTAATAGTATATCAGGAATTTTCTCGTGTTACTAACTAGTTCAAAAACACCCTTTATGTTGGTTCTATAATATTGTCAGAACAGTGGTTATACAATCATAAAGTATGATTTCTTAGGCCATCCCCCTGTTGTTGGACATTTAGGTTATTTCCAATTTTTTCCACTATTACAAATAAGGTTATGATAAATAGTTTTGCGTAAGTCCTTTTCCATATTTTTTATTATTTTCATAGGAAGGAGTTACAGAAGTAGAATTTTGGGGTCAACAGGTATACATTTTTTTAAGATCTATATTGTGATACTAGAGGCCCGGTGCATGAATTCGTGCATGGGTGGAGTCAGGCCACCCGCCCCGATGGGGGCTGATTAGGGCCGGGTCGGCAGGAGGGTTGGGCCGAGGGAGGATGGGGGGCCGATCAGGGCCCTGATCAGGCTGGTTGGCTGCCACAGTATGCTTCATAGTGACTGGTCATTCCAGTCACTTGGCTTTTATATATATAGATATCTTGGTATATATATTGTTAATTTTTCTCCCAAATGATTATACCAACTTACTACTCAGGTGAAAGTGCAAATATGAGGTCACTTTTTAGTCATTGAATGTACATTTGGTGCCATGACAGCGTAAAGCCTCTGAGGACAAGACCGGGCTGTCCACAATGTGATGAGGAAGTTACAGCATGGATAGGCAGTGGGGCCTGAGCTCATGAAACTGATGAGAAAGCCAGGTAGCGTGTGACATGCAGCCCTGAGGTGCTGACCCTGAAAATCCACTGGGAAGCCAGCATGGAACAGGATTTTGAAAAGCAAATAGTAGTTGAGTAGCCGAGATGGAGTGGGGAGGGTGTCCCAAGTAGACAAAACAGAAGGACAAATGTATAAAAATGTATATGGCCAGTTTGGGACATCCTGAGCAGGCCAGCTCTTGCACTGGCAGCAGCCTACTCGACGGCTCCTCCATGAGGGCCCAGGGGCACATGTCTTATGGGAAGTCAGTATTGTTTTTCTGACCAGATCCCCTCCCGGTTCTGCTCCGGTCCCTGCGTGGCTACCTTCCCAGCCACATGGACCTGGTGTCTCCCTCACCCCTCCCTGGCCTCCCAGCAGGCCCTCATTCAGCATGTATGCATATGAGCACCTCTGAAAACGTCTCCGAGGCACTTCTTTTGAAGGAGTGTTGCTCCGTGATCCAGTTACGACGATGGCATAGCAGCCCTGTGGATGTACTTGTCCCTCCCGGCCACTCAGCTGTGATCTCTTGGCACACTCCCTATCTACTCTGCTGCACCTAGCACAGGGCCTTGGCACATAGTACATGTTTAATGGAAGGACCAGCCCAGAGCAAGTCCAAGGACTGAGAGCTGTTCACAGCTGCCTCTGATTTGCTGCCTGGAGCTTGGAGCCTCCTCCGTGGGACTCGTGTCAGTGCAGCACACGCCACAGCTGGGTCGAGGGGGAGGGCAAGAGACACAGCCCACGCCCAGAGTGGGAAGTATTGCTGCTCCAGGAGAATGTCCTGAGGAAGTCAGGGTTTTTGCTGTTTGGCTAAGTCAAGGAGGGGTGGGGGGGACATCCGGCCAAGGCCGGCAAAATCACCTGGTCTGGCCCTGCCAGGGCATTAGGGGTGAGTTTATTAAACGCAGCAGGCTGATTTTTAAGTTGATAACTTTGTGTGGCCAGAGAATGACGGTATCAGTATCCAAATGGCCCTTGGCAGAAACGAGGTTCCCCACCCCTGGGCTAAGTAAATGTTACTCATTTGAATTAAAAATTGCCCGTAGAGTGACTATTTGGATAAAAGTCTGAGTTCTGGACCTTTGTGTTTCATTCCGTTCAGTGGGATGCTGAAGTCGCATGATGAAACAGAGAAACTTGCCTACCTGGGGCCACGAGTGGAGTTTCTTCTTAAGTCACTTGGGTCCCAGGGTAGCACAGGTAGCGTGTGTGGCGCTCTAACCACTCTGTCTGTCCCCTAGAGTTCTTCAACGACCTGGATCTGCTCATGGGGCCGGTCACCCTGCACAGCAGCATGGAGCACCTCGTCCAGTACTCCCAGCAGGGCCTGCACTGGCTGCGGAACAGCGCCCACCTGCCGTAGGGACCGCGCCCTGCGGCCGCACTGTGCTCCCACCTCCGTGGACAGCTCAATGTTTCTGGACACTGTGCTACTGACATTCCCAGCCACAGCATTTATCAAAACCCAGTGAATATTTTCTTAGCCTCGAACAATGGTCTTTTCCCAGGGCACGTGTGCCTGTGTGTGTGTGTGTGTACGACACACAGCTGTTAAAACCTATTTTCTTTGTCTAGTTTCCATAATCCCAGGCTAGACAAAGTGGTCAGAGGTTTCTGATTAGAGGAAATACACTTACACACATAGACACACACACACACACACACACACACACACACACACACTTCCTACTTCAAAGCTAAACCATGACTTTTTAGAACATTCAACCAAAATCTCGCTGTGAGTTCACAGGTGCAGCACACCAGCAGCCTGCCTGCCAGTGAAGACGACCTAGTCCTTACGTTGTTGACTTCCAGTGTTGATGTACTATCCCCACTTACCCTCTGGTTGTACGTGTTCATGGGCAATTGAATAATGAACGTCAGTCACGTTTTGCTGGATGTTTACTAGGTTGCATGTTACCCAATGCCCTGCCTTTCATTTACTACTCGCCCCTTCCATCCAACTTTATCATCGGCTAAATGCGTGGTGAGCAAATGGATCAACTGCCCTGCCCCCATCGTGGTCTGAACCTGGCGCAGATGTTCGGTGAGAACTCGGTGCTTTTGGAAGCGAGCCAGCCAGCACGCAGGCAGCCATGGCTGCGTTTGGGAGCCTGGTCAGGAACTGGAACCTCCTGCACCTGCAACAAGCCCGCCCTGCACAGGCGTTTCTCCTTCCTGACTCTGTGGCACGCGGCTGGGGAGCCTTGCGGCACTCGTCAGTCTTCTAAATGTGGCGATTTTTTAAGCCTTTTCTTTCCATGATAGCTTTCTTACAAACGTCTTGGCCAAATCAGGATGCTACCCCGATTGCCCCTTCACTGGGAGCCTGTGTGTGTTGCTTACCGGGCTGAGAGCCTCGTGCTCCTGACGATGTCTGATGCTCTCAGGCCTCCTGCAGGATGTGCCACGTTAATGCGTTTTGAACGGGGGCACGTGTGGGGCTCTGGTTAGCTGGCTGCTTACCGCGCAGGGTGCGTTCTTCCTGCCTCGGCCGCGGTGCTGTTTGGGGTAGCAACCCCAGAACGTCACGCTTATGTCCTCTGTGTCTGGTATGTTTACATCTCGCCCTTAACTCTTTTCTTTTTTTTTTTATTAAGTTTACATTTTAATTTTTTGACACCTGTTTACAGTTTTTGTCTGAAACTTGTTTATTTTATAGTCCCCTGTCATGTCCTAGATTTAGTCTTCTTATTAAATATATTTGGATATAAAATTATTGCTTAAAAAGAAAAGCTTCTGGGGAAAAAAAGGATGTACTTTGCCATATTTTAAAAACAAAAACATTGTCCCTGAGGCCTCTCACTTGACCATATTGCACCAGGCTGGTCTGAGAAAGACGGCAGTGCGGTTTACGGAGCACCCCGCCCCCCCCTCCAGGGGGCAATGACGCCCAGCATTTATAACAGATACTCGTGTGCTCTCGCCAACGGTCAGTTGGTCCAGTTTCGATGTTGACATTGTCAGCCTGATGGATAGTGGAAGTAAGATTGCTGTAATTCCCTAGCTCTCAGCACCCTTTCAAAACTGTACAAATGATTGATCTGTGCGCATGGTGACCCGAAATTAACTTAGAAAGAGCAAGTGAAGGGCTTATGAAATTGGCATTTGACTTTGGCCTTCAAGCATCTGCACTGCTCACAGAGTTTGTTTTACTTTTATCCAACCAAGGGGTTTGTCACACCCTCTCGCTAGACCTTGTGGGTGGAGTTCATGATCCCATTCATGTTGGGAATTTCAGTCTAACTTAAGAAATTGTGAACTGGTGTGTGGGGTGTGTTTGTTTGTTTGGAGGACTGAGGCTTAGTTCTGCTTGCTCTTGCTGAATTCCGCTGAAATGTTAGAACTCTCACATAAGGGGTGGCCCTCAGGTGCGTCCCCAGGTGCTCTGCTGGCCTGTGCGGTATCTACGTGGTGTGCTACCCGTGAAGCCCCATCTACACACACAGGTGGCCTCTGGCGTTTTACCAGTGTTTTGAAGACCATGTTTCCCAACAAAACCTGTCGTTGTGGGGGTGGCCTTTCATTTCATCGTGGAGCACGATGGGGCAGTGTGTGTGAGCTTGGGAGAGATGATTATGGTAAGGAGCCAGCTTCTTATTGCGTGTGAAAGTCATTCATAACTGTTTAGTTTTTTTCAAAGTAGAAATATATTTCTTGCATTTTCTGATTATAAGAGCAATACATGCTTCAATGTAAAAATTCAGACAACACGGAAACGTAGAAAGTAGAAGTAGTAAGTCCCACCCCAATCTCCCCCCACCCCCAAGCAACCACTGTTCACAGCCTCATGTCTATCCTTCTAGTGACTCTCCTGTTTCAACATGTACTGTCCATTATTATGTCTTTCTGTATGGAGGCATATTTCCTTAGCCCTTCAGCACAAATAAACTGACCTATCCTTCCGTGACCTGAACGGATGCCACCCTTTATCACAATGTAATCAAATGCATTCCCGATCAACATGTGGGATTTGTGACTGCTCTACACAGATCAGACTTATGTGCAGAGTTGTGCCTGGAAAGAGAGGTTTGGTTAAAACATATTTCTGGAAACTTTCCAATTACAAATGGAAACTCGGGCCCATGATCTAATGAGGAATGTACTGGAAAAATAATCTGAAAAGCTGACAAATTGTGTACTAGATTGAACGCATAGAACGCAATGCAATGAGACTCCCTGCACTAAAACTTACCCCAGTGTGTGCAACACTGATGCGTGTATTATATAACAGTGATGTGTACATTTCTGAAATCCCATGCATACGATACACAGTTTGTATAAATGCATACATTTAAAAATATATATGTACAATACAGCTACCATGAGACTGTAGTACACCTGAAGGGTATGACTAGTGCCTAACATTGAGTGTAAGTCACTGCGTGTTCGCATCACCTTGGAAGTACGGTAATTGTTATAAAATTAATCAGTGCAACCAACATTATTTATGAATCACATCTTTGAAACTGTGCAGTAGTATATACATATATATTTTTAAACAACATTTTTCACAGTTTTCCAGAGTTACTGTTGAAATCTGTATCACCAAAAAAAAAAAAAAAGCAAGATTTTTTTAATGATGTAGACACTCTTCAGACCCAGTAATCTGTGTGTGATTTCCTGTTTGTAGATACCCAAGAGACTTTAGCAGTCACCAGCCTTAATGCATGTACAGGATATTATTGTGACTTAATTTATCTGCAGTTTTTAATCCATGTGAAATTGGAATTTATAAACTGACTTGGATTAAATATGTCTGCCTTTCTAAGGTTGCAAATGTTACATTAAATGATTTATGTTGTAAATGAGAGAAATTGAGTTGTATGTAAGAAACAGCCACCAGTTTCTGTGACTATTTTTACAAGAAAACTTTAGACTCAGAATATGTTCGAGTAAGTTTTCTGGTCCCCAGATCAAAACCTCTTTAGAAGTGACCTTGTTTTGTGAGTTTGTTTTTTGTTTTTGTTTTTGTTTTTTCAGAGAGGAAGGGAGAGAGAAACATCAGTGAGGAGAGAGAATCATTGATTGGCTGCTTCCTGCACACCCCCTACTGGACATCGAGCCTACAACCCAGCCATGTGCCCCTGACTGGAATCGAACCTGGGACCCTTCAGTCTGCAGGCCAACGCTCTATGCACTGAGCCCAATCGGCTAGGGCTCCTGAGATTTTTTTTTAACAGCTCCCACAGGTTATCAATACTCAGTCTAATATTTTTCATGAGGAAAAAATGGTGTGTTTTTCTTCATTACACCTGCACATTGCTACTTGTCTTTCCCAGCCCACACACAAGCCTGCACACACATGGGGGAGAACACACCCACGTGTTTCAGGAAACACTGATTAGAAATTGACTTTGATGACCACATGGACACCTCCAGCCAGCGCCCAAGACGCTGTCCTACCCAGCATCCCTTCATGACCAAGTTCATTCCCTCCCTTGTGTTCCAGGATTTTCCAGCTCAAACCAGCATGGTGAAATAATGTCCGCAGTATCTGGTTGAGTAGAATAAAAGACCTTTGAATTAGCAAAGATGAAAATATTAGATTTGTGTCCTGCCATGGTCTGTCCCCCTGTGCAGGAGGCTTTTTTGTTCACCTGGTTTTTACTCTTCTCTCCCTCCTTTTTCAACCCCCTCTTCCCCAAACTAAACTAAACAAAGAGGCAGAAGCAGTAAGAAACACACCCGGATGACTTCACCTCACCCAGCCCACATCCTTAGATTCCTGTTCGCCTTGTCCTGAAGCAGAGCCCTCACTCGGTCACCATGGAGACCGCCTCACTCCCACGCCAGCCAGGACGGGCACTGGGCTATGCTTGCTCCAGGACCACCAACTTGCTACTCCCTCACACCCCACAGTCTTTCTAGAACTATCTTTCTCGTATGCGGTTTTGCCCGCTGCTCACCCAAAGCCCGTCCCTATGAGAATCCTATTTTTTAACGTAACGCCTTTTTATGAAACCCGAATCAACTGAAGTCTTGACTCTTTTCTCTAATGAAAGGAAAAAAGAAAAAACAACCACAGAACCTGCATTTCCAACTATTTGGAACCAGAGTTTTTTCTCGTTCTCAGTCTTTCAATATTACAACTTCCTGCCAAGCAGCACAAGGAATGTTCAGATGTGAGATTTGTGTTTTTTCCGTCCAAACTGAATTACCCTGCATTTGTCAGCACAGGGGCCCATTTGTTTCTTGGCATGAGGAAAACCATAAACCTGTTCTCCAGCTAATTACACCGGACCACGGTTTGGGTTTGCATTATTTAATTGGCACTCTGAGGCAGCAGGGGTGAATGTTGGGTCGGTTGCAAGGGGTTTAAATCCACAGCTCTTACCGTAATGGGAGCCATGGGAGTAAATCCCCATGTGTTTCTTTGAAAATCCTCTTACAGCCCGTTTTAAACACACTGATCTCAGGGACAAATTCAAGGTACTAATTACATGTCAACACAAGAATTAGCATTTGTCTTTAAGCATCAAGAAGCAAGGATGAGCCCGGCCAGTGTAGCTCTGTGGTTGCGCATGGACCTGTGAACTAGAGGTCACAGTTCAATTCCCAGTCAGGGCACATGCCCAGGTTATGGGCTCGATCCCCAATGTGGGGTGTGCAGGAGGTGGCCGATCAATGATTCTCTCATCATTAATCTCTCTCTCTCTCTCTCACTCTCTCTCTCCCCTCCCTCTCCCCCTTCACCTCTGAAATCAAGATATATATATAGCAACAATGAGGCCCAAAAGCTGAATCAAGGACTCTCATGAGCTAACCTAGGAAAACCTCATTAGAGAATATGTCTAACCTATCACGATGTAAGATTTTTAAAAAAAATCAGTGTTTAGGGTTTTCACACAGTGCTGTTTAGTTACAAACATAATTACAATATTTTAGTTACCATATTGTTTTCCACCCTTGCTTAGTTTTCATTAGACAAAACTGATTTTCCCCAAACAATGTATCATCTCTATTTCTGATTCCCAAATGAGCAAAGAGGAAGGACCTAGCCCTAGAAGTGTGCATCGCCTAACAGCGTCCTGCCGCAGCAGCCGAAGCTACGTGGCTTTGTAGAGAATGTGGAGTCTGAGGTTGAGCCTCCTTCGTTTCTGTCACCCTCCGGCGGGATTGACCACAGAGCCTCAAGAATGGCCATGTCGTCCAGAAGTCCACATGTCTAGGGATAGAACTCGCGCGAGTGATGGGCACTTTGTAGCATCACCTGCTGTCTGCGGCCTGTCTGGTGAAATACCAATATTAACACTTGGAGTAAATTGCAAACTGATTAGTGACCCCCTGAGGTTCCCAAGGCTGCCAACTCAACCCAAAATGTCCTTCTCTGTGAGCTGGGTTGATTTTTGTGTGTCTTTGGGGTTTTTATTCCTTTTAAATCCTATTAGATTTAATATCTTGACTTTTTAAAAGAATAGTTATTAGTCCTGGCTGGTGTGGCTCGCTTGGTTGGGCGCCATCCTGTGCAGGAAAAGGTTGCCCGTTCAATTCCCAGTCAGGGCATGTGTCAGGGTTGGGGGTTCAATCCCCAGTAGGGGGTGTGAAGGGGTGGGGCATGCAGAAGGCAGCCAATCAACGTTTTGTTTTCCTAATGGTGTTTCTCTCTCTCTCTTCCTCTCTCTCTAAAAATCAAATTTTAAAGTCCTTTAAAATAAAAAATAAAATAGAAGAACAGTTATTGGAGGCCGTGGGGCTTTAAGGAGACAGATTCAACATTAGAACTTGTTGACGTTGGGGACGAGGATTCAGAAAAACAACTGGGCTGCCAAACACTGCCCTCCTCTGCCTGTTGCCCCTGGCCCTTGAAGGAAACTCCCTTCCACACCTCCCTTTCCTCTCTGTGAGGAGTAACTCAGACTTCCTCACCGAGAGAGCGAGGATTGTCACCCTCAGCAGGAGTCAAGCATCTGTCAGGACAGCGGCAGCAGGAGCGCACTGCATCTGCAGGCACCAGTGTGCAGAGGTGTGTGATGGGAGCTGCGTCTCATCTCAGTCCTGACTCGGTTCTGGAGGCCCCAGGGGGTGACAGCAGGTAGTCACAGGCCCCTCATGGGACAAGAGGGTGACAGGGAGCTCCTCAGCCTTTGTTGTCACCACCTTCAGTCTATCCTGCCTGTAGGCAGAGATCTCCTGAACCAGTGGGGTCTGTCCTGGCCAGGAGCAGCAGAGCCGCCAAGAATGAGTGGTGCGATCTCACGTCCCCTTTCCCATCCGGGCCTGGCCTTCAGAAAGCGGGGCCTCCTGACAGAAGCGGAAGAAGGACCATGGGGTCCAGGCTTCCAGCGTGTGCACCTGCCATGACAAAACAATGTGCCTATTGAACAGCGGGCCCCTATCTCAGCCAGCAGCCTCCCCTCCTGCTCTCATTGATTTGCTCTGGACGCTGGGAGGCTGATGGTG